GAAAAACCACACTTGTGATTGGCACTAATTGTCCCCAAGTTTGGAGTCTCAGCTGAGGGTTTGTGGATGGATTAGACTATGGAGATGGATGACTAATTCTGATCTCTCTGGTGTAACCCATTGACTTCAGTGGATTTACTCCTGATCTACACCAGTGCAAATGAGAGAAGCTTCAAGCCCTGAATTCCCCTTCCCTACCAGAAGGGAGTCTCTCCAGGTCTGGACATTGGTGGGATGGTGAAGAGACACTGACATGGTTGTAGCTCTGGCTGAAACGGATCTAGGGAGAAGCAGAAGACTGAGCTGCCAGCCCAGCACTGCTCTCACTACGCAAAGGATTTCCAAGAGAGAAATGAAGTTGCGAAGAGCATGAGGCACCAAGTGGGGATGATGCACCTTTCTGAATTTGGTCAAAAAATCATTATTTTTTTGCACATGAAGTCAAAGTGGCAGGAGCCAGAGGCACCTGTGAGAGAGAATGTTTAATATGGGAATTTCAATCTTCACCACAAAGGAACCTCCCCCATAAACAGTTGAGCTTCCTCAAGCAATACCATGTGATTAAACCAAAATAAAGCATCAAAGACCTTGAGGAAAAGGGGAGGGAAAGAAGATCTTTTCCTCATCTGAGCTTGTTCCACACTTTCTGTTTGTACCAAGCTTATTTAATACTAAAACAGGTCCCTGCAGAGGAAGCTACCAAAAGCAGCTCAAAAGAGAGACCCTGACGGTAAAATTTGTATGTAAATGTGTAGATGACAATGATTTACATGGTGATTTGGTTGCATCTCATTTGTTAGTAACTTATGTATGTCTATTTAAATCAAGATGTTAAAATCAGCGTGTGTATAGATAATTTTTCACAAAGTACCTTGAAGATTACAAATCCTAAGAAGCCTATGTAAGGGCTAACAGTTATTTTATTACCAGGAAACTATGTGACCATTATTATTGCACAGGGAACTTTCAAACACTTATACATGTGAATAACTTTATTCCTGTGGATAATACCATTGAAATGAATGGGGTCGTTCACATGAGTAAAGTTACTTGCATGCATATGTGCAGGAATGGAGCCTTAGTCAGTTTCCTTCCCTTGCTGTTCAGGTAGTCACCAGATGTACTTTTTTAAAATAGGCAAATATGTCTGTAAACCCCACAGAAATGATCCAAGGGGACTCCAGAGTAGGTAAACTTGATCTGCTTTTTACCTAATTGTTTGAAGCTGATAAGTTTGGTTAACGTTCTTCAAATTTACATAAATAAAAGTACTATCTGAGGAGACAATCCTACAGCGTATGCAGTCACACAACTCTCACTGGTGTTGGTAGGACTTACAGGCACACTTAAGGCTACAAGACTGGGCCCTCAGTGAAAAGATAATGTACAGCTTTGGTGTTTTTATCTGCCTTTTGCCAAAATGCATGACAAATTTGTACTAAATCAGAACCTTAAAATATTCCAATACATAAAAACAGGAACTCTATTGCATAATACAGGGAAAACTAGACAAAATTCACCATACAACAGAATTGCTTCAGAAGCAAGAATAAACATTATTTAAAAATATTCCAAGAAAAAAAGCCAATTAAGAAAGAATAAAATATAAAAAGGAGAGAAACTAGGACAGTTCATAATTATTTTTACCCCCCCCCCAATCTGCAAAAAATAAACTAGAAAAACAAAATGAAAACTCAACAGGACTGTATATTCCAGCAATAACTGCATGTGAGGTTTGTGCTGTTCTATGTTAGCATCTGCTGGTGCTGCAATGAATTGCAATCCTCAAGTGTAGATAAACATTTCTTTCCATGCTCCCGATCCAAGGCCATTGAGATCATTGGTGCTCTCTGTGTGGTGCACCGGCATGGATCAGCTTGCCAGATCCAGAGCCAATACTGGACGCTCTTTATAGCCCCAGCACTGAGTCCATGTGGATTCCAGGGATTGTTCACTTAGTCATTTGCAGGGTTGAAGCCTAAGGAGGGAGTTGTCTCTTTAGGTCTGTTTCGCTCCTCCACAATTGGTTTTGTTTGCTTATGTTACTCCAACTTTCAATTAGCTTAATCTGGCTACACAGAGGTCCCTTTTATGAAAAGTCAAGAATTCTGCTTGCTCAGGCCTTTCCCAGAATCCCTGTTTCTGATATCTGCATCTTAGCCATTGCTATAACCAGGTAATGTACAAATTGCAAGAGGTTTAGTTAACAAATGTTTCTGGAACTGGTGAGCAAGAAGAATTCAGAATAAATTGAAATTCCATTGAGAAATAAACTTAAAAAGGTGGGGCTGAATCTACAAAAGCGTTTTTAGGTTTTTTTGTTTTGTTTTTTTTTTGCTAAGCTACCATTTGAAATCTTTACCTATGAAATTAATCTTTCTTTGAGAGACTCAGTGATAAGGAGATGAATTAAACCTTATACCTCAAAGGGACTGAAGAAACATGTAAATCTTCTACTGACCTTGATTTGGTTTCATCTGGAAATAACAGCAGACAGCCAAGGCTTTCAAAAGTGATGAGGGATTTCAGATGCCTCAATTTTCAGGAGCTCAACTTGAGATTTTCAAAGAGCGTGATTTTCAGGAGATGGATGTTCAGCACTCTTTGAAAATCAGGCCCTTTTAGGGTTCTCCTAGATTTATGAGGCCAGAAGGGACCATTATGATTATCTCGTCTGACCTCCTGTATAAACCAGGCCAGAGAACCTCACCCAGTGATTTCTGCATCAAGCCCAGAACTGCTCTCAGATCTCTTATAAAGGTGTCCAGTCTTGATTTAAAGACTTCAAGTGATGAAGAATCCACCATATCCCCAGTTTAATTATTCGAGTGGGCTGAATTTGTCCCACTTCAGATTCCAGCCAACGGGTCTCAAGTTGGGAACCCCAGAATGCTAATTACTTTTCAAGAGTTTGGCAAACATTTATCTAGCACCTTTATAATTATGTTTATGCTGCACAGTGCGGCCTTAGCCACCAGCCAGCATACGCTGTTCTGCCCAACAGTGGCAGGAGGCGAAATGTTAAACCAAGAATATTAGGGCAAGTCACTGCCCTTACACAAATTCACCCCAAGAACAAGGTGAACACGTGCTTTGCTCAGTTCATCTTTGGCCAATAGAGTTAGGGTGCTGGGGAAGAGGCAGGAGAGCAGCATCCTGGAACACCGTATGAACCCCAACACAAGAGATGAGAAGAAAGGGGAAAGAAAAGTTGGTGACTCCCTAGGAATAATTATGAAAGGAAGGGCATGCGCTCCAGACCCTAGTTCCCTACAGCTTGTTGAGTTATAGGATGTCAGGGCAGAGGACCTCATCATATGACAAAATACTTAACAGCAGAGTTCCCCAAGGAGTTTGGGCAAGGGAAACCCGTTACAGAGTCTCACTTTTGCCCCTGCCCTGTAAAACCCTCTCCAGCGATTTATTAGGTTGGGTCAGGAGATTCCTCTTTGGGGATGCTTGTTAAAAGTGAACAATATACAGCATGTTAGGGTAGGAATGGAAGAACATCCTAGTCTACTGAACCACCGGGGAGTTACATTACAGAATAAAATGACCAGTTTGCAAACTGGAATTTAAAACAGACACTGGGATTAACATGTCTGGTTTTGATGAGAAATGACATAGAGTGCTCCGAAATGACTTAGGTGCTAATGAAAATATTACCCATTGTGCTGATAGAAATGTGTCTCTTCACAACCTTAGTTTTACATGCCATGTGAATCCCGCATAGCACAGTGCCCCTGTACCACCCTGTGGTATTGAGTCAGGACTAGCACAGAAGGAAGTACACCCTCAGCACTGCCTGCCCTAGCACTGGGGTGTTCCCTGGTGTTCCGCCCATGCCTAGGATGAAAGATCCCACAGTCAGAGTACAATATGTCAGAAGCTTACAAGAATCAGTCGGGGTTTAGCTTTGATTGCCCTTCGTGTTACTCGGCAGGATATTGCACACCATGAAAACATTTTTAGCACTTCAAAATATTTACCTTGGCTTAATCATTTTAATGATGTGCTATGATCACAACAATCCCTATGCAGGTTATTTCTCTGAGAGATAAGTGAGCTTGAAGGCATTATGTGCTTTCATCTTCAGTACATGATAAATAACTTGCATTGTGGTCAATTATCTCACAGTGGAACTTCAGTGGTGAGAACCTGTGGCTTAATTAATTCCAGTGAATCCTTTTGGTGATGTTGATTTAAAACCATTACTATTTTTTCAGGAAAGAATAAATAGGTGCATAGCTCATAAAATCAATGAGGACTCACATTTGTTCTTTTCTAGCAAGCTGAATTGATCACCCAGTTTAGAAGCACCTAAACATGAAGAACATATCTGATATGAAGGGGGTCTTTAAGCTAGAAGACAATGGTGTAGCAAGATCCTGTACCTGGAAGATTAAATTAGAAAAAATCAAATTGGAAAAAGATAAAAGTGAGAGTAATTTAAACCCAGAAACAACTTATTCAGAGAAGTGGTAAAGTCACCACCATTTGGAGTCTCTAAATAGATACCACACATCTTTCTAAGAGAGATATTCTAGTTCAACCACAAGTTATTGCATTCAATAGTATTTACTGCTGGAGCAGAAAGAGAAATTCCCTCCACTGCAGGAATCACTGAATGAAGGACTCTGACCTGGGCTATCCAAGAGGTCAGACTAGATAATCAGCATGGCACCTTCTGGCCTTGAGACCTCCATATATAATTTCTCATTCTAATTATTTTTCTTGTTGCACACCTGAGCTTACCAACTTTAGAGGTCAACATGAACTGTCACAGAGAAGCTTGGAAGTAAATCTTGCTGCCATTGAAGTTAATAGAGGTTTTTGCCATCAAGTCCAATGGGAATCTGAACTGGTCTTGGAAGTATGGTACATTCTGCATTGCAGTCTGCAATCCGACAGATGGGAACAGCACGGGAACTAAAGGACATCCTCAAGAAAATGGATAGGCTAATATCTCAGATCTCTTTCCCTGACATGCTAAACAGAGCATGGCTGTTGTATTAAACTACATCACCACCTACTGCACTGGAAACCTCTTCACTATTGACTTAATCTGTATAATTGCTAAGGCAAAAGAAAGAAAGGAATATGGAGCAGATTTGTTGAGAGCAAGGATATATTTCTTTAAACTCTAGGTTGGAATGTCTGAACACATTGACGATTATAACAATTGGTTAATTTCACTTGATTTTGGGAGGGCAGAGTTGCAGTTTCCCTCTTGCTCATCCATCCCCAGTAAAGGACAGTTTCTGCCCTGCAGAGAGCATGGAAGAAAGGGTATGAAAAAATACCTTTTGTGGTCCTGATTGGTGGTGGAACGTTGGCTGTTCACACTGAATGTGGTCTTAATCTAACTACAAAGGCTGAATTATGTCAATGGCTAGACCAAAGAGATCAAGAGGCGTTCTACTGTATTAAACCTGACAGTGTGTCCTGTGTGGCTTTTACCTACCTGAAGACAGCAAAAAGCCAGATTCATATCTCACCGTCTTGAAAAAAGGGCCTCTAACAGGTATTTATATTAGAAAATAATTCACTGCATTTTCAAAGGCTTGGAGAGGGTTTAGGAGTTGGTGAGATCAGTGCAGCTAATCCTTTAAACCCTTTGCAAATGGAGGCCCTAGGTAATGCCTGAGTGGGGCTAGGAGATCCTGTTTTAGATTCTGTGGGAATGAGGCTTTTGACAGTGCAGGAGACATGGATGTGGGAAACCTCAAAGGGTTTTGAGAGCCAGTTCAGATATTGAAAACTTATTCAAAGTTTGAAACCATTTTGTTCTGGAAATCCTGCTGGAGAGCTCATGCTGTCAAGCTATTTGCATTCTCTTCTGGTTCCTGAGATCACAGAATGTCCCTTCATCAAGGCTGAGAAATGATTTGTGAACCTTAAAGCCAGTAACTGGACCATAGTGAGTAAAATTTTCAAAAGAGCCCCCTGATTTAGGAACCTAAGTCCTATTTCAAAAATGACTTGGGGCCAGATTTTAAAGGTACTTAGGCATCTAAATCTAAATGTATCAAATTAGGATTAATACCTTTGGGATATATTGTTGTCAAAATGTGTATGTGGGATTGGAGCATTGTATGTACCTTCTCCAGCAGGGATGGGGAATGCTAATGAACCTCCCCCAATATCAGCCTCTGAGCCTACTTCCTGGAGAGAGATGCATATACTAGTTCAACCTGGATTCTCCAGCAGAGACTCCTGGATAAATAACCTGTGTTTAGACTGGCTCATGGCCCTCTTCATGATCCAGCAAATGGACAAGACTGCTGATCTTGGAGGTCCCCAATCCTTAGGGAAGAATTGGAAGCATTTGGCCCACTGAGGCCTCAGACTGGGTGCTTGTTCTGAGCTGAAGCTGTGATGAATTTGTTACCACAAGGAAACCCCTAGGCTGGAGGGGGCTGTTGAAGGATTTATCCTGCCAGAACCCATGTCTGAGCTGGGCTGAACTCTGGTAAGAGTATTAGCATGCATGTAGGTTCTCTGTGTGTTTATTCTTCAGGTGAAAAGCGTTATAGAGAAAAGTAGGCTTGCTTAGCAAGAGCTATGTGGTAACTTAGATCTGTAGCAATCCCTCTGTGATCAGTCTTTGAAGAGAAAGCAAGCAGGCCTGTTTAGGCAGACTGTCTTTATAGGGAAATACACAGTGAAGGCAGGGAACTGTACAGCCTGGGAATAGCCTGCTCAGAAGGGAGAGACACACAGGTCGGCCCCAGAAAGGCAACATCTGTGGGTGCCCTGAACTACAGAGGGGAATGTCAGGTGCAGTTGCCCCACATTGGCTCATTCAGGGCTCCTTTCCCTTTAAGGGACACCAGAAGACTGGCTCATCCAGACAATCCTCTTACTGCAGTTTGATGGCTACAGAACCATTACACGCCTCCCCTCAGATTCTGCCAGCTCCTGCTGCCAGGGATGTGCCTAGTCCTAAGAACCCTCCCCAGTTTCCCCACAGTGTTAGGAGCAGCTACTTCTGAACTAAGCTCTTCCTCACCTGAGCTGTGATAGCTTCTCCAGCACATGTGGGTCTATTCCACTCCTCAGCCTACACTGCTGGGTTTTTTTCCTCCTAATATCCACATGGAGGAGCTGTCTTGCATCCCTACTCCCATTGCTACTCCTCTACCTCACTGGACAGCAGCCTCTCAGATACCTGCTCTCTGCTAGCTCTTCTCCCCCAATCGCAGCCACTCTGAGGGGCACCTGTTCCCATGCCCAGCCCGCTCAGCTGTATCCTGGGTCCTAAGGAAGGAAGCAGTCTCAAGGGATCGCTGGCTCCGCTCCCAAGGAGGTAGGTTCCCCCCCTTAGGAGCAGCTTCTTCAGGGTCTGCTCAGCTCACTGAGTTGGGCAGGAGTCAGACCTTCCCCTGCACCCTCCTGAATTTTTCAGAGCTGGGGAAAGGGCTCCTGTAGCTCACCAGACTCGCAATACCTGCAAAGGTATAGTATTTCAATCAGCCCTCAGACAACCTGAAATAAGTAACCCAAGCCTTCTTTCCCTGAACTAATTTGGACTGGCTACTAACATGGTCAGAATTATATAGGGCGCTTTGCTTTGCTTTGCTTTGCCCCTCCCCTTTCTGATAGACCCACTACTTTGGGAGGGGAATTAGTCTATAAATAGACTGCCTTCCACACACACACACTTTTTTTGGTGGGGTGGGTAAAATGAACAAAGCTCTTGCAATAGAAAAATTGCACCAATTAAAGAAAGGGAGCCAGGCAAGAAAGAACAGCTGGGGATAAGGACTGTTAAATGCTAGGATAAAGAAATCTGCACCCTCTCTCTCTAACCAGCCTAACAAGTTAGGGTGTGTGGCAAGGAAAGGCAGGAGGAAAAAATGAAAGCATTCTAGCTTGCTCCTTCAGATCAGAGGCATTTCACGTCCTGCTTCATCCTGTGAGGTGCCTCATGTGGGTAGACCAACTTTCAGGATTAGAATTTGTGCCTCTTTTGCTCTTCATGTAGCATAGTAGGTGGAAACTGCAGGGAAACACAGGGGTTCCAAATCACCACATTTACTTAATACAGGCAAGCTACTGAGGCCTAACCACATAAACACACTGGTGCTTTGCCTGGTTTCTAAAACTTAGAAGATGGGGAGTGGCACTAGAGGGCTCACAAACTCTTTAGAGGAATATTATCCAACTCTTATATGCCCTAGGACTACCGTGAGGCTCTTGAGAGATTTAACACAAGAGTCTCCCTCCCTCCCATCAGCCGTGATTACAGAGAAATATACAGAGAACAGACATGAATACAGAAGTAGGAGGGGAGTTTCTCAAGAGTCCTGCTGCTTTCAATGGTAAAACAAGGAAAATTCCTGGAGAAACCCATGAGGGACCAGCAAGAACATGGAGTAAAAATATTACTTATCAAATATTAGTTCATTTCTAAAGGAACTATTACAGTAGTTCTAGCTCTACCATATTGCCTGTAGTTAAACTACCTAATGATGCCAGTGAGGTGTGGCTTGCTGGCTCATTTAAAATCTCCTGTTCGATTCATACAGAAATGAAACAAGCAAGAATAAAAAGTAAAGCCGGCTCATCTATGCACCCTTGTTTTTTAACCAGCCCTCTTGCCATGGCACTCCCTGAGCCATGGCTTGACCTCGTTTAGACCATAAGCTCTTTGAGGCAGATACTGTCTTGTACGTTTGTACGGTACCCAGAAAAATGGGGACCTGCTCCAGACTGGGGCCTCTGGATGCTACCATATTGCACATAAGAGGTTTGCCTGGCCCTTTACAGAGAAGTCCTAAAGATGAGCCCCAGTTCTGAGGAATTTATTATGCTAAAGGTGAGTGAAATGCATTGACACCAGCTTTCCCTTCATGCAGGGTTAAAGGAAACAAAAACTCATTGGGGCTGATTCTGATCTCGTTTACACTACTGTAGACCCAGGGGAACTCCTCTGGAAACACTACAGTAAATGTAGATTTGATGAGAGCAGCTTTTGATCCATTAAGATTGATTCACTTATACCCCTCCAGCATGGTAGGCAATGGACCCATTTACTCAAATTCTCTGGTAGGAGAAGTAGGGCTCTTTGTCAAAGGGTTTTTCATTACAGTTCATAATGTGACTAGGAGGCTCATTAAAATGAGGGACTAAGTGATGGCGCTGCCGAGAGCGATGTATCAAGTAAGCAGCTCATGTGAAAGCCACCTTACTTAGCCAGAGCACCTCAATCCTGACCTCAGCCTTCTAATTCCAGGCCTGGGTCCTTCCTAAGGTAGGTCTTAAAAGTGTATCTCAGTTTCATCCCTTGTTCTTCCAGGCCTTAGTTCCCACAAAGCAGCTCCAATACAGGTTGCTCCTGAAGCATAGCCCTGTTATTCCAGCAAACCTGGGTATCAATGGCTCTTCTTACACAGAGACCAGACTTCAGGGATGCTCAGACCCCTGCTAATCCTGCAAAGCTGACCAATTAGGAGAATTTGTGCTTGACTTTTTGCCACTCTTTGCAGCAGAACATCAGTCATATGGGAGATGTCCTTTCCAGATTTGCCTCTTCAGCACAGGAAGCCGCTACAGAAGACTGCCTCGAACACTGTGCACACCTGCCTCCTGTTCATGTGTGGCAGATTTAGGGCTAGAGACTTACCACTGTCTCCCAACTCTTCAGACAGTTTTTGAAGCTATACTGCCTGCAAAGGGTGGCTGATTTGGACCTTAAGGTTGGTGGATTGAAAAGACATGACTTGTGGCGGTCAGATTTTGTTGGGTTAGGGGAATCAGCAATGTCATTCTAGCTACCTTCAGAAATGAAATGCTTCATGACAGCCACTTAGAATGGCCACTACTGAACTACCCTAAGCTACTTAGACCCCAAATTCTGGTCTGATTTAGATTTCCTAGTAGCAGCACCAGCTGTCCAGTCAGTGTCTGTATAAATGTTAATAGGAATTGTGCATGCAGGGGAATAATCCCAGATGTCTCATTAAAATGAAGAATATCACCCAGATAGAAATAATCTGACTTTTGCTTCCTGTGCTTAGATCACATTTATATGTTGTTATATACATGCATGAGGACAGTGATATATGAAAAGCCATTTTAGTTTAATTCATGTAAGTCCATGCAGGCTCTCATAAAAGTCCAGTGTGTAAAACGTATGCTGCTTACTCAGCATTAGCATATAAGTGACAGGGTTTTGTTCTGCATGGGAAGTTAAGCCGACAATCTTTCCCTGTTCTCTTGTTGTTCCAGGAGTTGCAAGTCAGCACCTCGTGTTGCAGTAGTTTATGTTGCAACACTCTAAAGTGCTGATCTCCTCTGAAAAATGACAGGATGGGGCTCCGCATATATTTTCTTTCAGTGATTTTCACATAACATTTACTCTGTTCATACGTCAAAAGATCATATTTTTTTTTTCGGACCAGATCTGTGAGTTGAGCCTGGGATCTGCAAAGCTACCTTGCTCATCACCAGTGATAGAGATTCTCTTAGTTGACAGCTCTGACGACGTGAAAGGTAGTGCAGATCTTGCTAATGCTAGTAAAAGCTTGTTTTTTGTCAGTAACGTAAGAGGCGCCTGGCACAGTTATGCTGAGAAAGGCACAACCGTTTTTATAATGTCAATTTTCTGATCCAATCCAACAGCGTTCTAGCACAAAGATCAGGTCTTTCGCTGGTGTAAATAAGTGTAGTTTCACTGAGGCCAATCTAGAAGTGGGGGATTATTATAATTGTTGTTCGTGTTGAGGTAGCACCTAGGAGCCCTGGTCACGGAGCAGGACCCATTGTTCTAGGAGTGACAGGCTGGCCATATGCTGCAATGTCCAGGACAAACGTTATGGAGTTAAGATAAACTTTGCTGAATCACGTTAAACCTAGTGAACTAGGTAAAATAGCTTTGGGTCCATTGTATTAAAAATACAATTGTTTGAACTGTTGTAGGAGTGTATGTAACTTTTCTAGGGACTTGACTAATGTAAATGTTAGGATCCGCAAAGGACTTTTTGGGGAAATGCATATAAGGTAAATTCCCTAGGAAATGTCTGGAGGTGAGGGGAATGCAAATGACCCACTTCAAATCCATCCTTTTTGAATCTATGCCCTGGGGAGGAAAACCAATTGCATGCTAATTATCTGTTCTTGGATGCCCCAGCTGAAAGACCCCAGAACTGTATGAAGGGGAGCTCAACCTGTGAGGGTGCTTGTTCAGAGCTGAGGCTGTGAGGAACTTGAACCCACAAGGAAGCCCCTTGAGTGGGGCTTAGAAGGACTGCTCCTGCCAGAGCCCAGGTTAGAGCTGGGTGAGCTCTAGTAAACTTATAAGCAGGCATGTACTGTGTTCTTTCATTGTTTTTATATATTTTCTCTGCAGTGCTTTTACCTTCACAATAAAATAGGCTTGCATGGGAAGTGTGTGGTACCTTATAACATGGGTGATTACTCTGTTAGTTTCTGAAGGGAAGGGAAATAGGCCTCCTTAAGTAGAGTCTCTTGCTGAGAATAATCCAGTGAAGGCAGGGGACTGTTCAGCCTGGATGCACCCTGATCAAAAGGGAGAGATGTGGGTCTCCACCCAAGTGAGGCAACAGTTGGAAGCCTGAGTGTGGATGCTCTTGCTGTACCATATAAGTTTCCCTGAACTGTGACACTAGGTGCTGTACACACACACACACAAAGGCAATTCCTGCCCCAAAAGAGCTTACACTCTAAGAGACAATAGGTGGATAGAGACTGAGTGGTGAGAAAGCCCAAGTAAACAGGCCATATACGGCAGGCAGTGATCTCAACAATCTCTAGACTACTGGTATGCTAAGTTTTTTGGTAGGCATTGCAGTGAAAGAGTTTTAAGGAGGGATTTGAAGGCACGATGAGTACATTCTTCCTAGATGTTAATTTCAAAACTCATGCTAGAATTTTAGTAGCATTCAGGTCTCTTTGGCCTCTCCTTTCACCCACTGAAATTTGCCGGGGTCTTTCTAACTGGTATCGATGAGTTTCTTAAACTATTTGCCCTTACATGATGTACTTGGAGGCTACATTATTCCATTCTGTTGCCTTGTAGCTTGCCTTAAATTAAGGATGATCAATTGGTAGTAAATTCTCGATACAGTTCATGACATTTAATGACTCGGAGAATCAATGTTCAGAGTGGAAAGAGAAGCCAGAAGGGGGATCTCCTGCAGTGTTACAGTGCAATAGAATGCTAGATGGAAAAACAGGGAACTCTCCTGCAGTACTGCAGTGCCGGTCTGAAACAGTGTCAGCTGGAGACTCCAGCTGGTAGGAGCAGCTTCACAACCAGCCAAAGCTGAAACTGCCGCACTGGAGGGCGGGGGAATAAGGGGTAAAATGTGGCATGGGTGGGGCCACGCTTCCTCAGACCCATGTGCATGATAGATCACAGACACACAAACACCCTACAGGGACTGTCTGAGATTCTGTGTTTGTACTGCACGATGGGATCTTGTTCTTTGCTGGCTCTTAAGCACCGCTGTAAAACGATGATGATGATGATGATTAATAATAATAATAATAGAATTCTACTCCTTACCCATCCAAGGTTCAAGGAAATTCTGTTTGAGGTCCGCACAGAGAGGCCAACCCCTCCAGGGCACGGGTGAATTCCTCCCTGTGCTTAAAATCCTGGCCCCTTGGAATCAATGGGAGTTTTGTGTTTAACTGGTGCACGCCTTAGGTTGGCCCTCTGCGCAAGGGGTGAATCCATTCTTTAAAATGAGGGAAATGGTGACAAAATCAGTGGTTTAAAGTTCCGCCCCTTTCTCCTTTGTTAGCTCTCTGAAGGTCTTTGATCACCACAGGAATGGACTGTTCAAGACCCATGTGGCAATAAAGAAGAACATTCAAATTCTGTGAGAGAATCGTAGGCACCCTTTTGTGCGTCTTTCTCATTCTTTTTCATAAAAAGATGACTCAATCACACATGAAATCAACAGGTTAGTGGGACAGAAAGACACGGCCATAACGCTGGGCCTGCACTTTAGACCCTTCCCTATTGATGCTTTCATCAGGAGGGTGATCAGCGTTCACAAAGCCATCTCACACCTTTTACTTAAATGCCCAGACACAAAAGTAATCATCAAAACAGAAAATATCAGGGAGATGCACATAGACAGGGAGCAAGTCGGTGACATTCATGAATATGTCCAATATATGGCAATGACAGATATTTTTCAGGGTCTTAAGGTGGGTATCATTAATGCCTGGTCTATGACTACAGCATATGCCACAAAATTCACCCACAAGATCATGTGGTTGGAAACCAAATCAATGTGTTTTTTTTATGTACATGTGTTAGCTGCTATTTATCTAAAATGAAAAACAGGCTATAACTTGAGAACAAAGCACTTGATTAGAGCTGGTTGGGAGGACAAAGGGAAATTTCACCAATCCCCCTTGGCCCCCCCAAAAAATCAGTTAATAAAAAAATAGGGAAAAATTTGTTGAAATTTATTTTTAAAAAAAATCAATTAAAAATCATCACAATTTCAAAAATGTTAAGTATCAGAGGGGTCGCCGTGTTAGTCTGGATCTGTAAAAGCGGCAGAGAGTCCTGCGGCACCTTATAAACTAACAGCCATATTGGAGCATGAGCTTTCGTGGGTGAATACCCACTTCGTTGGACGCATGGAGTGGAAATTTCCAGAGGCAGGTATAAATATGCAAGCAAGAATCAGGCTAGGGATAACGAGGTTAGTGCAATCAGGGAGGATGAGGCCCTCTTCTAGCAGCTGAGGTGTGAACCCCAAGGGAGGAGAAACTGCTTTTGTAGCTGGCTAGCCATTCACAGTCTTTGTTTAATCCTGAGTTGATGGTTTCCAATTTGCAAATGAACTGAAGCTCAGCAGTTTCTCTTTGAAGTCTGGTCCTGAAGTTTTTTTGCTGCAGGATGGCTACCTTTAAATCTGCTATTGTGTGTCCAGGGAGGTTGAAGTGTTCTCCTACAGGTTTTTGTATATTGCCATTCCTAATATCTGATTTGTGTCCATTTTATCCTTTTACGTAGGGACTGTCCAGTTCAGCTGACATACAGAGCAGGGGGGCATTGCTGGCACATGATGGCGTAGATTACATTGGTGGACGTGCAGGTGAATGAACCGGTGATGGTGTGGCTCATCTGGTTAGGTCCTGTGATGGTGTCGCTGGTGTAGATATGTGGGCAGAGTGGGCATCGAGGTTTGTTGCATGGATTGGTTCCTGAGTTAGAGTTACTATGGTGCGGTGTGTCATTGCTGGTGAGAATATGCGTCAGGTTAGCGGGTTGTCTGTGGGCAAGGATTGGCCTGCCTCCCAAGGCCTGTGAAAGTGGGGGATCGTTGTCCAGGATGGGTTGTAGATCACTGATGATGTGTTGGAGAGGTTTTAGCTGAGGACTGTATGTGATGGCCAGTGGAGTTCTGTTGGTTTCTTTCTTGGGCTTGTCTTACAGCAGGAGGCGTCTGGGTACACGTACATCAAAAAATGTTGCTATCTCTCTAGCAATGACACAATAATTTACTCATTACAAAAATAATCAAATTAAAGATATCACTCTAGTACACTGGGTCCTGTCCGTCCATCCGTTCCCCCCGCAGTTTTTGTTAAGCAATTGTCTTCACCAGTTCTGAGATTCAGACTGGCTGGAAGAATTAGTGGTTATTATCTTCTCTTTATAGCGTTAGTGGTAGCCTTTGAATGAGAGGAGATTGGTGGCAATGTATAAACAAGCATCCTCACAGCCTTTCTAGAGAAGTGAATAAAGAGCCACAATGGATCTGATCCAGAACAAAGTAGGTAGTTCTCCTCCATTGCTCTGAAAACCTGAAATATTGCCATTCTAAACTTGAGTGACAATGGAACAGGTACTTACTGGTCACAGAGCATGATAATGAATAGGTTTGGCTAAAATAAGAATATGCCTCTCCTGCTGTTCCTTTTCCACTTAACTCTTGGCTATTTTTAGCACCAAACTTTTTTTGAGATTCTAACGATGGTTTTTTTCACCTGTGGGACCAGAAGCAGAAATCCTAGGCAAGGCTATTCCTGGTGAAATCTCTAACCCAATTTTGTAGTGTGCCGCCAAACTATGAACAAGTATCCAACACAATCGCTGAAATTCTGGAGCCTGACCCGGCGTTAGATTTTTTGCCATGCTCATTCCTATCTATCCTGCTAATCACTAATGTATTTATCCTCAAAGAGGAAAGGGAAGTGCTATTGTCCTTATTTACAGATGGGGAACTGAGGAACAGAGACTAAATGATTTGGCCAAGGTTGCACAGAAAGTCTGTGGTGTACAAGGGACTCGAACCTGGGTCTCCTGCATCCGAGACTGTACCGGTTGGACACTCCCGTTCCTCTGAGTTGTCTTAAATATTAGCAGATAGTGATATGCCACTGACAGAATCTGTTTGGTTTTTAGTTTAGTGCTGTTTATGCTGCCAAATTAACTGACAAAGCTCTGGACAATAAGTTCAAGTAGCAGCATGCTTTCCAGCCCTTAACACTTGTCCTCATTTCACTTCTATTGTTTAATGGATTTGGAAATGAAGAGAAACAGTTCCCTAATGGCCCAGGGATGCTGCACTCCAAACAAACTGATGTCATGTGGTAACATGTGCAGCTTTGCTTCCATGTAATGTTTTACAGGAACAACTCTAAACACTGTACAGCAAATGCAATAAATGGATGAGTGAGCTGTTGGCTTACAGTGTCGGTGCATACTTGGGGGTGTATATTGCAGTGCCAGAGCCCAGTCAAGGGAATCAAGGTGGAACATGACCCTCCCTCAAAGTAACCATGTGGTAGGACAGGCATCATGAAAGACTCTGCCAATCAGCTGCCGCATTGTTGTTGTGCTAAGAGCCTAATGACTTGTTCTGTATGAAATGGATCAACTTGCAGCCATCTCCATCTTCTATACTGAGTAGGGCGACCAGAGAACAAGCATGAAAAATTGGGACAGGGGGTGGGTGGTAATAGGCACCTATATAAGACAAAGCCCCAAATATCAGGACTGTGCCTACAAAATCAGGACATCTGGTCACCCTCATACTGAGGTATGGCTGGTAGGGGCTCCAGGTCCCTGCATACAATGTTCCATCTTGATTCAAGCAGCCAGTCTACTTGCCATAAGGCAATCTGCTAAACTTTGAGCCAACCTGAGAAAAGGAAGCATGGGTCAGTTGGATGTCTCAGTGTGGCTGATTGATATGAGCACTAAGAGTTAATACAAATCATTTGATGGTACAATTCCTTCAGAATTTAGGTGTGACCATCCCTTTAACTCATTAAGCGGCTTGTCTTGTTAACGACAGACCTCCCAGAGACAGATCATAACATATACTAGGGCTTACAATGCCACTAGCCCAGTCTGCAAAAGGCAATTTTTAGTCACAGTCATCGATTAACATTACAGCAGTTTTCCTTGAAGAGTTTTTCTTCTCTTTTTCACCATTTAGTCTTTCCTTACTAAGTGCATAGCAACTTCCTTGAGCCAATGACTATACTAACCCCCAAAATGATCAAATTAAAGGTGGAAGATGCATTATTTTGAAAACAAGTTATTTGATTCCTGAGGGTTTGAGTAAATTAAACAAATACTCCAATTAACCAAAAAGAAAAGGAGGACTTGTGGCACCTTAGAGACTAACAGATTTATTTGAGCATAAGCTTTCGTGAGCTACAGCTCACTTCATCGGATGCATCTGATGTAGCTTATGCTCAAATAAATTGGTTAGTCTCTAAGGTGCCACAAGTACTCCTTTTCTTTTTGCGAATACAGACTAACATGGCTGCTACTCTGAAACCTCCAATTAACCAGTGCTTAAATTATCAAATAAATATTACCATATGTTGAACATATGGGGTGTTTTTGTAGTTATCAGTTAGAGTAGTGAACCTACTGCTTTCTGAGGGCTTGATCCTTAAAACAAAAAATCCTTTAGGCAATAAATAATCCCTTTGAAGTCTGTTAGGCCCTGAACCTGAAAAAATTTATGCACATGCTTAAGCCATTCATTTGCACATGCCATGAGTAATGGCAAAGTCACGTGCAATAAATGGAATTGAAGAAAGGGCTGGGAAATCTAAGTGTGCAAGTGGAAACATGCATGTAGCTAAGGGAACACAGTAAGCCGCTCACAGCTTTCTATTCTGCACATCGGGCTAGTCTGTGTGTCCTAACAGGTCAGATAGTGACTGGATAATCTGGAAATGAGCAAGTTATAAATTACTACAAAGAGAGATTTTGTCTGTCTTTAACTTCTATTATTCTAGGAATCCTGCATGCCAATGAAACTCCCCCATCTTCTGTATTTGACACAAGCAGCAGAATAACCACTGGTCAGTAACTTTATACTTCTCTAGAGCTCTTTACAAACATTAAGCCTTGTGTGATAGGTTAATACTCATTTTAGAAATGTGGCAACAGATTGACAGAGAGAGGTTAAGGCCAAAATTTGCAAACTTTTCTGTGCCTGAAGTTAGTCACCTAAGTAAGTGGTTTGCTTTTCAGGGGCTCTGATTCTAGTCCCTCTGTGTGCTCAGCAGCTCTCAAAACCAAGCCACATTTTCTGCAGGAAGGCGGCCGCATTTTAGCCACTCAAATTCAAAAGCGTTGGCTGAAAGCGACTTCTCAACAAATCAGTAACTGCAAATAGGATCTGGGTGTCCTGACTTCCACTCCCCTGCTCTGACGGTTCCATCTCATGAATAGCACAAATGCTGAGTTATAGTATGATCTAAGTGAACGTACATGCTTAACTGCTGTAACCTTTACATAAATGCTTGAATCAACTGTTTTTACTCATGTACTTTGGTTACATTCACAAGTTGTATGGGTCTCCCTCTGGTGGCTAATTTAAGATCTACAACTTCATGGGGTTTTCTCATTTGTAAGACTTTCATGTAGACATGGAAAGGAGCTAGGGATTGTACTGCTACTACAATTTTCTTATTAAGGCCTATTTTCAACCATAGAAATGACCTGCTGACATTTGTCACTCATTTTGTCAGTCAGCATGATATTAGCAAATGAAAAACGCAAGATTAGAACGAGATCCCCTTTCCCCAGTGGCTTTATCGGGCAAAACAGGTGGAAGCCTGTTTTCCGCAACATATCTGACTTCACAACTATGGCTCAAATTAATACTTGTTTGAAGAGAAAAATGAATTTACCTTATGGGAGATTCAACAGTGTCAGTGGATCGAGTATTTCACAAAGACAGAAAACAGTAGGTTTTGCTCTGTTTTCTTAGAATCAGAGACATAGCGGTGGCTCTTTTCCTTGTCTAATAGCATTTAATTTGTTAGGCTTCTGCTTTCTGGTAAGCGGTAGCTTTTGTTTTACTCT